AGGAGACTCGCTTGAGCCCAGGAGTTGGAGGTTGCTGTGAGCTGTAATGCCACGGCACTCTACCCAGGGGGACAGCTTGAGGCTCTGTCTCAAAAAAAACAAAAAACCTTTTTTGTTAATCAATGGAATATTTTTTCCCCCAAGAAATAGAATATGTGCATACAACTGAGTATTTGAATTATTTTCCAAAATTGTTTTCTTTTTCCTAACTTGGTTGTCAGTTAAACTACAGTTAGGAGCATGGTTGTGGTTAACTGAATAGCATACTGAGATTTGGGAGCAAGGACTTTTATTAGATCTCTTTTGCTTATTATAGTGTGTCAGTGGCCGAGTGAACCACTCTGAGCCCATTTTCTGTAAGTCTGGTCATTGCATGTGGAGAGTGAGATTTACTGCTTGTTTCATACCATATCTCTGCTGCTTGATTTTTTTTTCCAGCTTGTGTTATTTTTATAAAGGAAAATCATAGATGATTTTCATCTACAATAAAATAACAATTTAAGGCAATGCTATTGACTAGTAGTTCATTATTTTTCTGGTATATTTGGGAAGAAGGATGAGACCAGTGGTTTTCAACCCATGTGCTATGGCACATTGGTGTGCTATGAAAAGATCTTATTAGGTATGACTCAAAAAATTTTCAAGATCATTAATTAAATAAATTTTGAAAGAAGGTCAAAGCACGTTAAATATATTCTTTTCTTTACTCTTTTTTTTTTTTTTGATCAATATAATTTAAGTGTGCTGCAAAATTTAACTATAGGTTCAAGTGTGCCAGGAGATAAAAAATGTTGAAAAACACCAGACTAGAGAATTCTTAGGAAGGAAATAGATTCATCTTTGGGGCTGGGACTTTCTGTAGGTTGAGTCAATTTATTTTCCTTGGTGTTTCCTTAGTCTTTGAAAGCTAGGATTTGCTACCTTGTATTGGAGTAGTATATACATGAAAACAAATACTAGGGTTGGTTCATGGACTTTATCTCTTAAGTTTCTTTTGTACAAACAATTGTTTGTTTTAAACATAAAAATAGCTTTCTTGCTCTTTAGCCTCAGCTGAGACTAAAAAAAGGAATCCCAAGTTTGTATTTCTTTTTATTGGTAAGTAATTATTTTTCAAAGTAATACTTGTTTTTTGTAGAAATTTTAAGTAAAATTAAGTTTTTATTTATTTTTATTTATTTATTTATTTGAGACTGAATCTCACTATGTTCACCCCCAGTAGGGTGCTGTGGCATCACACCTTACAACTTCAAACTCTTGGGCTTAAGTGATTCTTTTGTCTCAGCCTCCCAACTTGCTGGGACTGCAGGCCCCGGCTGGGTTTAAACCCGCCAGCTCTGGTATGTGTGGCTGGCGCCCTACCCGCTGAGCTATAGGCACTGAGCCTAAAATCAAGTTTTTAAAAACCTCATAATCTCTTGGACAGTGCCCGTTGCTTAGTGGGTAGGGTGCTGGCCACATACACTGATGCTGGTGGGTTCAAACCTGGCCTGGAATGACAACTTTAACAACAATAGAAAAAGTAGCCAGGCATTGTGGCGGGGGCTTGTAGTCCTAGCAAGTTGGGAGGCTGAGACAAGAGAATCACTTAACCCCAAGAGTTTGAGGTTGCTGTGAGCTGTGACGCCATGACACTCTACCTAGGGTGACAGCTTGAGACTCTGTCTCAAAAAAAAAAAAACCTTATAATCTCATCACCAGAAGATATCTACTGTTAATATTTGAGTATATATTTGGCATTTCTCTGTAGAATTCATAATGGAATTATATGAATCTGTTTTATTACCATCTATTTATTTTAGTCTTGTGCATGACAGGCCAGTAAGACATACGCATGTCAATTCTAGCAGACATACACTGTGCTGTATCCCTCATTTGTTTCCTGGTCTCTCATCTTGTTTTTCAGTGGATGAATACATTGCCATTGCCAAAGAGAAACATGGCTACAACATGGAACAGGTAATGACATAGATCGTTCAAAATGGGTTTTTATAGCTACGTCATTTGTTTTCTTCTCCTTATTGAGTTAGCAGTGTTTCCTCATTAGCAACTTTCTGGTGGTTGGTTATACAGACTCTGGTCTGTATAAGTGAGTATTTGAGAACCCGTTGATTTGAAAGGCATCTGTGCATTTCTGTAGGTCTGCAGCCTTTAGGACAGCGATTACTTTCAGGTTGTTAAGGGCTGGATCTTGAGTATAATGCTTCCTCATTTGTTTATGTGATTTGCTTATTTTTCTCATGTGATATTTTCTGGTTCTTGTTGTCACCCTCAAACTTGCAGTGTTGTAATATTCTTTGTTTTAAATCACTTTCAGGTTGTAAACATTTGACTAAGGTTTTATGTTTTGTTTTGTTTTTTAAGAGATGGGATCTCACTCTGTTGTCCAGGCTGGAGTGGAATGGCACAATCATAGATCACTGCAGCCTCAAACTCCTGGGCTCAACGATCCTCCCACCTCAGCCTCCTGAGTAGTAGGACCACTAGCCTGGCTAATTTTTTTATTTTCATTTTTTGTAGAGGTGAGATCTTGATATATTGCCCAGGTGGGTTAGTCCTGAACTCCTGTCCTCTAGTGATTCCTAGACACCTTATCTACTCTGAGGTTTTCTTTTAAACACTTCTGAAAACATATTGATAAAAAATCCACAAGGTTTATTTTTTTCAGAAGTATACTGGTGTCTTAAGTACATTAAATTGGATTAATAGTTAACATCCTATTGATCTAGATCTTACAGCCAATAAGGTACTAATGTTGCTCATTTATCCCAATGATTAATGGTACCAAGAGTTTAGATTATATGAAATTGTACGTGTTCAGGTGTGATCTTACTTTTAAATCTATCCTGGTCATTGAAGGTACTTTGAGAAAAGCCTGTTATACTAAGATAATTTCAAAATCTTTTAAAACAAGAAACATATGCTTCCCCCCGCCAAAACCTACTCACAAAGTTCCTCAGAAAATCATTAAATTAATGAGTAATAAGTTAATGATTAATTTTAATTTTTTAATTTAAAATGTTATTATTTATGACCATAATTTGGGAGCATAGATAGAAGTTGCCCTGAATATATACTTCCTAACTTATTATTCTGTTTAGAAAGTATAAATATTATTGGGTGATTGTTAAACATACCAGTATGAATTCTTAAGGATCTTAGTCTCAAACTGGGCAACAGAGATCCCATTTTTTAAAGATTTTAGTCTTGATCATTTCTCCTTTACAACTGTAGTATAGAAAATTCTTTTAGGGCTTAGCACCTGTAGCTCAGTGTTTAGGGTACCAGCCACATACACCACGGCTGGTGGGTTCAAACCCGGCCCGGGCCTGCTAAATACCAATGACAATTACAACAACAAAAAATAGATAGCCAGGTGTTGTGATTGGCGCCTGTAGTCCCAGCTACTTGGGAGGCTGAGGCAAGAGAATTGCTTAAGCTCAAGTGTTTGAGGTTGCTGTGAGCTGTGACACCATGGCACTCTACCAAAGGTAACATAGTGAGACTCCAAAAAAAAGGAAAAGAAAATTCTTTCAGGAAAGTATTTGCTATGTTATCGCTTTTCTTTCTGAAGTGTTCCTTATCTATTTGTACTTTCTTCCTTTTTCAGCTGGAAAAAAACTCTGCATATGAGAGGTTTTTTAAATAAAAGAAGAACAAAACAATGAGTGTTTTTGTAAATTACTCTGCATTTATATAGAGAGGCATTAAAGTGTGACTCTTTTTTTTTTTTTTTTTTTTTGAGACAGAGCCTCAAGCTGTCCCCCTGGGTAGAATGCCATGGCATTACAGCTCACAGCAACCTCCAACTCCTGGGCTCAAGCGAGTCTCTTGCCTCCGCCTCCCAAGTAGCTGGGACCACAGGCGCCCACCACAATGCCTGGCCATTTTTTGGTTGCAGCCATTATTGTTGTTTGGCAGGCCCGAGCTGGGGATTCGAACCCGCCACCTTAGGTGTATGTGGCTGGTGCCTTAGCCGCTTGAGCCACAGGCGCCGAGCTCTTAAATCATATTTCTTCATCCTATATTTGATTTTTTTTTTTTTTTTTGAGACAGAGCCTCAAGCTGTCCCCCTGGGTAGAATGCCATGGCATTACAGCTCACAGCAACCTCCAACTCCTGGACTCAAGCGAGTCTCTTGCCTCCGCCTCCCAAGTAGCTGGGACCACAGGCGCCCGCCACAACGCCCGGCTATTTTTTGGTTGCAGCCATCATTGTTGTTTGGCAGGCTCCGGGCTGGGGATTCAAACCCGCCACCTTAGGTGTACGTGGCTGGCGCCTTAGCCGGTTGAGCTATAGGCGCCGAGCCTAAAGTGTGACTCTTGAAGAGCATGTCTTGTATACCCATGCTGCTTCTGCCTGTTACTAGTTCTGAGACCTTTAGCAAGTTACTTTATTTCTCAGGGCTCCATACTCTAATCTGAGAAGTGGGAATAAGAGAATGTACCTCACAGGACTTGGGATAAATGAGGTAGTATGCAAGGTACATATGACAAGGAGAATTCTGGGAGATGGCCGAGTCTGAATCACCTGGGGATGTCTCTCCACCTAGATACAAATTGCACTGGCACAGTGTGAGGTAACTATTTTGGAGCTCTGGAGTTCACTGAAAGGCTGTAAATGTAACTTTGCTCAGTTTTAGATCATAGCAAGCTAGCAGCTACCCATCCCATACCGCGGCAGCCCTATGGCAAGCAGCTGTGAACTGTTCCTGATGCAGCTTGCACATATCTTGTAGAACCTGGGTGAGCAAGAAGCACCTTGTTCTCCAAGGATAGGATCTATTCTCTGATTACTGACTGCGACTTCTAATAGGTACAAGGAGAACAGCAGCCATGGTTGTTGCAAGCTCCCCCCCTCCAGCTGAAGCTTATGCATTCTCTCTGCCTTCATTTTTCTCCTTTTTCACTTTTGGAAGGCAGACATAAACAGGAGGACATTCCTGCATATAAGGGGGAAATTATACGGTTGCCGTGCATACCCAGGGAAGGACATAGCCTCTGAAAAGACCTTGAGTTTTATACTTAAGGCTGATCCATGGCTTACAGGTAGCATACAATAAATAGTATTTTTTTTTTTTAAGCAAAAACTGTGATAAAACCCAGCAAACCCTAGAGAAAGGCAAGAGTCTGATTTATCAGAGTTACTACATTATTAGATTGATATTTCTGGTTTTCAATGAAAAAAAATGGTAAAGCATACAGAGAAATGATCAAGTATGGCCCACTCAAAGAAAATAAAAAGAAGACTTCCTGAAAAACAGGGTGGCAGAAGAGATAATGGCCCAAAACTTCTATAAACCCAAAAGAAGATCAGTAAATTCTAAATAAGATGAACTTGAAACTCCATGTTATAATCAGACTATCAAAAGCCAAAACAAAGAAAATCTTAGAGGGCAATAAAAGAGAAGTGACTTGTCACACTAAGAATTCCTGAAATGGCAGCACCCGTAGCTCAAGTGCCGTAGGGCGCTGGCCACATACACCAAGGCTGGTGGGTTCGAACCCAGCCTGGGCCTGCTAAATAACAATGACAACTACAAAAAAAAAAAAATAGCTGGGAGTTGTGGCAGGCACCTGTAGTCCCAGCTACTTGGGAGGCTGAGATAAGAGAACTCTTAAGCCCAAGAGTTTGAGGTTGCTGTGAGTTGTGACATCACGCACCTAGTGGCACTCTACCCAGGGTGACAGCTTGAGACTCTGTCTCAATTAAAAAAAAAAAAAAAGAATTCCTAAAAAAGATAGTGGCCAGATTTCTCATCAGAAACCTTGGAGGCCAGAAGGCAGGCAGTGGACTAATACATTCAAAACGCTAAGAGAAGATAGGTGTCAACCAGGAATCCTATATCTGACAAAACTATCCTTTGAAAGTAAGGAGGAGAAATTAAGACAAAAGCTGTGGGAGTTTACGACAGCTCAGCTTGCCTGACAGGAAATGCTTAAGACCTTATTGGGTTATGAGGGGCTACTAGACAATAATTTAGACACATGGTGAAATGACCTCATTAAAGTACTGCCACTTAGCACTTTTGAGTTAGTTATGGATTTGTCTGAATGTAAAGTAGTACACACTCTTCTGCCAATCTCATTTTCATTTTAGTATTTAATTCAGTTTGTTTGAATAAAATTTCACTGATATTTTTCTAGGCTCTTGGGATGCTCTTTTGGCATAAGCATAATATTGAAAAATCATTGGCTGATTTGCCCAACTTTACCCCCTTCCCCGATGAGTGGACTGTGGAAGATAAAGTCTTATTTGAGCAAGCCTTTAGTTTTCATGGGAAAACTTTTCATAGAATCCAACAAATGGTAAGTAGATGAGACTGTTGATATTTTTCCTCCCCATCCCCCAAGTCCACTATTCTCTCTTCTGCAGCTTTCTTGGGAGATAGGGTTATCATCCTCAAGTACAAATATTCCTTTTTTTTTTTTTCTTTGTAGAGCCAGAGTCTCACTTTATCGCCTTCGGTCAAGTGCTGTGGCGTCACAGCTCGCAGCAACCTCCCAACTCCTGGGCTTAGGCGATTCCCTTGCCTCTGCCTCTCAAATAGCTGGGACTACAGGCACCCACCAGAATGCCCAGCTACAAATTTTCTCATTTTTAGTAAAGCTCCCTTTATTTATTTTGGGACAGAGTCTCACTTTGTTGCCCTTGGTAGAATGCTGTGGCATCATAGCTCACAGCAACTTCAAATTCTTAGGCTCAAGTGATTCTCTTGCCTCAGCCTCCCATTTAGCTGGGATACAGGTGCCCACCACAGTGCCTGGCTATTTTTAGAGATGAGGTCTCACTCTTGCTCAGGCTGATCTCGAACCTGTGAGCTCAGGCATTCTACCCACTTTGGCCTCTCAGAGTACTAATATTATAGGTGTGCCATTACACCTGGCCTAATAAAACTCCCTTTAGACAATACAGCTTTATTACATGCTGTTCTCTGAATGAGGTCTGTAGATTTCAAGACTGATGTACTTCTTGTTTTTTTTTTTTTTTTTTTAAGAGACAGTCTTTGTTGCTCTCGGTAGAGTGCTGTGGGGTCACAGTTCACAGCAACCTCAAACTCCTGGGATTAGGCGATTCTCTTGCCTCAGCCTCCCGAGTAGCTGGGACTACAGGCGCCTACCACAACACCTGGCTATTTTTTTGTTGCAGTTTGGCCGGGGCCGAGTTCAAACCTGCCACCCTCAGTATATGGGGCTGGCACCCTACCCACTGAGCCACAGGCACCACCCAAGACTGATGTACTTCTTAACACTGCCAGCTCCTTTCCTACTATCCTAGTTCCTCCAGAAGTTAAGACCAGTGGAAAGGATCTTTGGTGGTTATTTAAATGGAGCTTCATGGGGCCCTGTCTGCCTAGGGAATGTTTCCTTACCATTTTCTTTTCTTTTCCCTTTCCCTTTCCCTTTTCTTTCTTTCCTTCTTTTCTTTCTTTCTTTTCTTTTCTTTCTTTCTTTCTTTCTTTCTTTCTTTCTTTCTTTCTTTCTTTCTTTCTTTCTTAAATTAAATCATAGCTGTGCACATTAATGCAACTACAGGGTACAATGTGCTGGTTTCGTATACAATTTGAAATACTTTCATCAAACTGGTTAACATAGTCTTCACCACATTTTCTTAGTTATACCTTACCATTTTCATTCTAGTAAAGTTCTTAGGTAGACTCCTACTTAAAAGTTCACTGAAATTTACATTAAGTATTCAAATTAAGTTTTTAACAACCCCAAAGTTAGGCTCAGTGCCTGTAGCACAGTGGTTATGGTTATGGCGCCAGCCACGTGCACCAAGGTTGGCAGGTTCAAACCCAGCCCGGGCCAGCTAAACAACAATGACAACTGCAACAACAAAAAAAATAGCCAATTGTTGTGGGTGCCTGTATATAGTCCCAGCTACTTAGGAGGCTGAGGCAAGAGAATCACGTAAGCCCAAGAGTTTGAGATTGCTGTGAGCTATGACACCACGGCACGCTACCAAGGGCCACATAGTGAGACTATTTAAAGAAACTAAGTTATATTCAGAACATTGAGTGTGTGAAAACTCTGATTCAACTTCCTGATTAGCTATCTTTTTCGCAAATGTCACTTACGATCAAACTTTAGTAATTTGAAAATACATGGCCTGCCTTAGTGGCTCTCACCTGTAATCCTAGCATTCTGGGAGGCCAAGGTGGGTGGATCACTTGAGCTCAGGAGATCGAGACCAGCTTCAGCAAGACCCCTGTCTCTGCTGAAAGGCTAGCTGGGCACCTGTAGCCCCAGCTACTCAGGAGGCTGAGTCAAGAGGATCTCTTGAGGCTATGAGTTTGAGGTTGCTGTGAGCTATTATGTCATGGCACTTTACCCAGGGCAACAGAGTGAGACTCTGTCTCTCAGAAAATTAATTAATTAAATTTTTAAAAAATTGAAAATACATTGGTAAGAATTCTTTTATCAATTTTTGTCTTACCTGAAAGTAAGGACAATGACTCTGGATATTTCTGAACATGTGAGAGTGATCCCTATTAAATGCATTTAAATATATTGGGTTTTAAAGGTCAGTTTTTAAATCTAAACCAACTTATTTTTTCATATTTAGCTTCCTGATAAATCTATAGCAAGTCTAGTGAAATTTTACTACTCTTGGAAGAAGACAAGGACTAAAACTAGTGTGATGGATCGCCATGCTCGGAAACAAAAACGGGAGCGGGAGGAGAGGTGAGCATGGGCTTGGGGTGTTATCTAACCATTTAGGAAAGCTTCTGAGAGCTGTGGATACACAAAGGAAAAGTAGAATACTGAATTTCTCCCAGTTTCTGCCTAGCGGAATCATGTGTTCATGAGATGTATTAGCGTGTGAGTATTACATTATTAAGGGACTTCATCTCACCACAATTTTCCTGCCATGAGTGAACTTCCATTTTGAGTGAGTGAACTTTCACATTTATTTTTTTTCCTGCCCCTTAAGGGTGGTTTCTTTTATTTCATAGCTTCACATTTAATTTTATATTTTTATATATATATATATATGATTCATTTGACTGACCAGCTGCAGTGGTTCACACCTGTAATCTTAGCAGTCTGGGAGGCCGAAACAGGTGAATGGCTTAAGCTCAGGAGTTTGAGACAAGCCTGAGCAAGCTCAGGACCCCATCTCTAAAAATAGCTGGGCTTTGTGGTAGGCACCTGTAGTCAACAGCTACTGAGATAAGAGGATCCCTTGAGCCAAAGAGTTTAAGGTTGCTGTGAGTTATGAGGTCATGGCACTCAACCCCAGGGCAACTGAGTAAGACTGTCTCAAAAAATATATATATATTCATTTGTCTTTTTTTAATGTTTGGTATGGAAAAAGAACAGTTTTGCTCTGTTACTTGGGCTGCAGAACTATGGCATCATCATAGTTCACTATATCCTCAAACTCCTCATAGTTCAAGTGCTCTTTCCACTCCAGCCTCTTATGTAGCTGGGATGCTATAGGCACATGCCATCATGCCCAGCTAATTTTTCTGTTTTTTGTAGAGAGTGGATCTCGATTTTACTTGAAGTAGTCTTTTTTTTTTTTTTTAAGAGACAGTCTCACTTTGTCACCCTCAGTAGAGTGCTATAACATCACAGTTCACAGCAACTTCCAGCTCTTACAGCTTAGGCAATTCTCTTGCTTCAGCCTCCCAAGTAGCTGGGACTACAGGCGCCCACTAGAATACCCAGCTATTTTTTTTGTTGCTGCAGTTTGGCCAGGGCCAGGTTTGAACCACCACCCTCTGTCCTCGGTATGCAGGGCCGGTACCATACTCACTGAACAACAGGCACTGCCCTTGAACTAGTCTTGAACTCTTGACCTCAAGTGATTCTCTCACCTTGGTCTCCCAAATTATTAGGATTACAGGCATGAGCCATACACCTGGCCTCCTTTCTTTTTTGACCATCTGTTTGCTGTGTGCTAGTGGAAGAGAGATAAAAAAAAAAACAGTTAATAATTTCTTAGAACAGATGTTAATTTTAAACATAGTTTAGTAAGTAAAACACTTCTTAGCCTTACTTCTTACACATAGCACAGAGAAGTGAACATGTTTATGGAAACACTTATCTGAGTTCTAGTCTCAGCTCCGAAGATTTCACTAACATACTCACAGGTAAGGAAGTTCAGCATGCCTCCTCTCCAAGCTTGGATTTTCCTCAACTCTAAGGTGATGATACTTGAAATCTAGGGGGCAGTACACAGATATAATGGTTTCTGTGTTAGGTTAGTAGGAATATAGGTGACTTTTTAAAATTGTATTTTTCACATTTTCAATAGTATATTACTTTTATCCACTAATAATACAAAATAAAATAAAGGAGGATGGGGCATCACCTGTGGCTCAGTGGGTAGGGCCCTAGCCCCATATACCAAGGGTGGCGGGTTCAAACACGGCCTTGGCCAAACTGCAACAAAAAAATGGCCAGGCGTTGTGGCTGGTGCCTGTAGTCCCAGCTTCTCGGGAGGCTGAGGCAAGAGAATTGCCTAAGCCCAAGAGTTGGAGGTTGCTGTGAGCTGTGATGCCATGGTACTCTACCAAGGGCGATAGGATTAAAAAAAAAAAGGAGGAGGATGAAATATGATCCCTAAACCTCCTCAGGACAGAATTTTATGATTTTGATGAAAGAGAAACATGTGAGAATACATTGAGTGAGAGTTAAGTCTCAGTTTTGGAAAATTAAAACCTGTGAGCCTGAATATAAATTGAGTGATGTTAAGAAAACCTCCCAGAGGCCAGGCGTGGTGGCTCATGCCTGTAATCCTAGCACTCTGGTAGGCTGAGGTGGATGGATTGCCTGAGCTCAGGAGTTCAAGACCAGCCTGACCCCATTTCTGTAAATAGCCAGGCGTTGTGGCGGATGCCTGTAGTCCCATCCCAGCTACTTGGGAATCTGAGGCAAGAGAATCACTTAAGCCCAGGAGTTTGAGGCTGCTATGAGCTGTGATGCCGTAGTACTCTACTGGGGGGAACAAAGTGAGACTCTGTCTCAAAA